TCCCTCTCACTAGGATGCCCTGTGTCCACCCCCAGCTTCTTGCTATCCAGGCTGACAAAGGGAGCCTGGGAAGTGCTGCTGGGGATGAGGACCTGGGTCTCGGTCAAGAGCAAGGGCACACACTTGATTCTGCCCCTAACACCCCCGCGGACGGTGAGTCTGCATCATGGGAGGAGATGTGTGAGGCGGGTTTTGCCCTGGTTAACAACACCCTGCAGGATCTCGGAGGTTAAACACGGGAGGAGAACCCAAGGCTGGGGTGGTACAGAAGGGAGGCTGGGGCCAGATGGAGTGATCTTCCCCTGGGGAGCCCTCCCCACCAAGTGCCAGGGCCAAGGTCTTGTTGCGCCCTCCCCAACCTTCATCACTTGGGCCTGAAAACCTTCCCTGAGATTCCATAGCACAGACATTGCAAAAACAGAGCAAAACTGTTGGAAGACAAAAAAGGCAGCAATTACAGTTAGGCAAAGAGCTTGAGTCCTCTTCTGCTTTGAGTCCTGCTGGTCACCTGGGGCTTTCTACTTGGAACCTGAAAACATAGAGGCGGCCCATTCTCCTCCTCCCCTCCTCTTGTCCTCCTCCTTTTCTCCTCCTCCTCTTCCCCCACCCCTCCTCCTCCTCCCTTACCTCCTCCTCTCCTCCCCTCCTCCTCCTCCTCCTTCCCTCCTTTCCTCCTTCTCCCTTACACCAAGGACCTCTGGCCTTCTTGGACCTTTGTGATATACTTCCCTTTGCCTGAAACCCCACCTTCCAGGGCTCAGACAGTCCTTCCCCAGCTCAGAGCCTTGAGGAGCACCCCACTTCTCTCTGTCCTAGAATCTTGCTCTTGTCTTTCACAAATTATGAAATTGTGTACTTTTTTTTTTGCAGTACTTTTCATGTTTTAAAATACTTATCAATAAATACGTCCATTTCCTTTTTAAACTGGTTTTTTTTTTTAATCAGAGGAATACATACGCAGAATTTAAAAATCAAATAATGTCAAGAGATGTTTCATGGAAGGCAGCAGGCCCCGATCACATCTCTTCCACCCTCCAGAGATAACCACGTTCAACTCTTGGCTGTTTCTCCTTGTGTTTAGAGCCCTTCACCCAAACAACATGCTCATGCTTCTACTTTTTTCCCCAACATCTTATTACAAAAAATTTCAAATGTATAAAAAGTTGAAAAGCTTTATAGCGAATGCCCATAAACCCACCAACTAGACTCTACAATTAACATTGTGTTATATCTGTTCTGTCACATAACTTTTTAATTTTCTGTCCTTCTATCCACCCATCATTCCACCTTACCTTCTGGCGCATTTCCAAGTGAGTGGCAGATGTGAGTACACTTCATCCCTAAGCACTTCACCAAACATCTCATTAGAATTCGGTATTTGCTGGTGGTCCTTTTTCCCCCCTCCTTTTGAAATAAATTTCATATGCAATGAAATGTACACATCTTAAGTGTACCAATTCATGAGTTCAGACCTAGGCATGAGACCATGTAACCAAACTGCCACCAAGAAGCAGAACTTTACCCTCCCCCTGGGGAGTTTCCTTACGCACCTTCTTGCTAAGTACTGACTGCTACCCACACAAGGCAGGCGGCTACTGTTCTCTTTTTCTCACTCTGTTTTTTGACAGAACAATTTTTGACCTTGTCTACTGACTTCTTCTTATGGTGCGAGTCTTAGCTCATAACTTTCAGTTCCCATAATATACTTATATCACACTTTAAAAAATTAAATCAATACTCTTCCTACACAAGAGTAAGTAAAAACTCTTTACTCCCAAGACAGTACTGTACTCAACACTGATTATGTTTCTTTTCTTGTGCAACTTTATGCTTGTCCTCATTTTTGGCTTGCTTGCTTTTCTATACCCTTCTCATAATTTTTTTCTTTATGAATCAATAGAACTGGGAAACCTCTATTGCTATTATTTGTCACATGAGCAAGTGTATCAAATAATCTGTAACTTACTTTTATGTTTTTTTCCCAGGGAGACTGCCCTCCAATCTCTTGAGGGTGGCTCTCCTGCTACTCCCATTCTCGAAGCTCTTAGGAGCTTCTCATCTCTGGTGTCTGAAACATCACGATCATATGCCTTGGCCCTTTAATGACCCTTCAATCTGGAAACGAACATCTCTCAGTCTGGGGAAATTTTCTTCTATTATTTCTTTGATAATTATCCCCTCCATTTTCTCTAAACCTTTCTAGAATTTCCAGTGGTCAAATTCAGGACCTTCTGAACTGATCCTTAGTGTTCTCATTTTCTCTCCCATTATCTGTCTTTCTCTTATTCTCTTTCTTTCTGTGCCACTTTGGGGGAAATGTCCTCTATTTTATCTTTCAGACCTCTTATTGAATTCTGAATTTTTGCTATCCTTTTTAATAGCCAAGAGCTCTTCCTCGTGCTTTGGTTTTATATATGGGATCTATTTATTCTTGTATCTTCTTTCTATCTATCTATCTATCTATCTATCTATCTATCTATCTATCTATATCTATCATCTATCTATCTATCATCTATCTATCATCATCATCTATCTATCTATCATCTGTCTATCTATCATCTATTTATCTATCATCTATCTACCTGTCTATCTTTCTCCTGCTCTTATTTCAGGTGAAAGGTCTGCTTTTATCTCTCTGAGAATATTGATAATATATATTTTTGAGGTTTTCTTCTATTCCTGACCTTGTCTCTGTTTCTTTTGAGTTCCTTTTTTTTTTCTTCTTCCCGTTTACTTGTCTGGTCTTAATGGTGGAGGCTTTCCTAGAATGTCTGGTGATCCTTAGTTGTCCATATTGAAGATTTTGGGTCATTAGAGAAACTTGCTTGGCAGCTCTATGGGCGCGGCTGGGTCCCGTTTGCTGGTGGGCTTCTCCGCAGAGGGAATGGAGAGGGAGCTGGCTTTCTCTCTGGAGGACACTCAGTATTGCCCTTTACCCCCTTGGTCCATTCAGTTTTTCCAGAGAAGAATTCTCCTGCCACTGGTCTGGGGTGGGGGGTGAGGGATGGGAGTTCAGCTGTTGTCATTATTAAAGCTCAGTCGGGTAACAAGGGTCCGTTGCTGTTCAGGGTGCAGAATTTAACCTAAACTTCCTGTTTTATGCCTGGTGCTGATACTTCACTCTCATTTGTCAATGCAGATGGCATTGCTGAGCACAAGGCTCGCTGGTTCAGTTTCTTCAGAGGATGTCTTGCCCCTCTCCCAGTTTGGGAGAAGGGGGCTTGCCTGACTGCACAGGAGAGGGAGGGGACCCTGGAGGTCTAACCAGGGCCCCTGTTTTAGCCCCTTCTGACCTCCTGCTATGCCCGGTGCCCCTGGTCCCTCAGGGCTGGGGTTGGGGGGACGGTCCCCAGAGGCCACACCTCCTTCCCCAGGGATGTCTCCCTGCAGGCAGGGCCATATAAGTATCCTCCGTTCTATTACGCCAGTTGTCACTCTTCCATTTGCTTTTTCTCTCCCCCAAATTTGATGACATTTGTCATCTTTCCCACTTGCCTTTTCCTGGTGGGTTTTAGTGGCTTGAATCTCATGTTAGCATGATTTCAGGAGGGAAGTGTGATAAAAAATGATGATCAACCCACCATGTTTAGCCTGAAGCCTTTTTATTTAATATTTGTCCCTCACACAAGATTGTGGGAGCCCCATAGCTAGGGATTCTGCCTGTTCTGTTCAACACTTTCCCCTGCCCTTAGCAGCATGCCTAACTCATACTAGGTTCTCAGAAAACAGATACTGACTAAATTAAAAGCGTGGAGGTTGGGAGGTTTTCGATGTTCTCTTATTTAGCAATGTCTGCTGCACCAGAGGTGGGAAGGGATCCTCAATCTCCTCTGGCAAATGAGGAGCCCAGGTCCGACTGGGGGTTATCAGATTATCAGATGTGGTGGGGAGGGTCATACCTGTGACGGCAGGAAAAAAAATCGTAGGTAGACAATCTCTGGACTCCAACGTTGGAGCATTATAGAGGCCGGCTGGATGCTCCCTAGAAGGGTGTGGGCCGTGCCCCTGGGGGCCTGGCAGTGAAGAGGAAGGGGCTGGCTTCAGTCCCATGCCCAGCCCACTATCCCCTTCTCCCACTCCCCTCCCAGAGCAGGGCTTTCTGTCTCAGCTGGAGGGAAGGGAACGTCAGCCTGGACTGGAAACCTCTCTCCTACCCCTAGAAGGCCCGGGAGGGCTGCAGACCTCAGCACTGAGCCCAGATGCCGGGTGACGAGCTAAAAATACAGCCATCGGTATTCCCCCTCCCCCCACTGTCTTAATGTGGTTTTAAAATAAGTCAGCCTCTTTCTAGTTCTGCTTTCCGCTGTCATTTATTTCAGTTTTTATCTCCACAACAAAAATTCCTTCCAACTTTTTTTCCCTCTCTCCCTGTAATGCTCTTCACTTTCAAATGCTAATAATCTCCAGCTGTAAAAGGCTTAGAAGTGGCTCTAGATTGTTTGATCTTTGGCCTGTGATCTGCTTTCATCTCTCTGCTTTCAAATGTTACTTTAGATTTACTTTAACCTATTAACATGCTTGGTATTCACAGACACGCACTCTCCAAACCAGCTTCCCAGCACCCCCCACTCCATTATAACTAGGCAAGGAAAGTGAAACTGTATGCACGCGGGAGGGAACTTTGGCCCCGGTGGCTGGAGGCCTGGAAGGCAAGGACGGGGGGGAGGGGGGGAGGCGGGGATCGAGCAGGGGGAGACGGGGAAGGAGGGGAGGTCATAAGGGAGGAGAGGGAAGGGAAGAGGGGCCTGGGACCAGGACCAGGAGGCTGGAGAGGAGAGGAAGAAAGAAGGCATGGAAGCCAGAGAAAGGAGAGTGGGACAGGGACAGGAGGCCAGGTCCCCATGGCAGAGCAGGCTGCCTCCCCGCCGCTTAAACACTATCTAACTCCACTCTCCCGGCAGCGCCCAGCCCGGCCCGGGGAGTGGGGGGCCTGAATTAGGTCTTGAGATTTCTTGCTCCCACCATTATGCTGGAATGTCTGCGTGTTCATTTCCACCGGAAACGCCAGGCATGAATATGGATGAAACTCCTCACTGAGACCACAAGGGTACGGCTCAATTATTTGCCATATAAAGTAGCACATGAGGATTCTTTGCACTTGATCATTTCCTCTGTGTAGGGCTGCGTGCACGCGCACCCGTGTGTCTGTGTGTGTGCGCGCGGGGGGGCGATGTGCGGGCGGTTTGGGGAGACACCGTATCACGGAGACCCTCACTGCTGGGTGCCTGGATGGGGTTTTGGAAGAGAGACCCCACTTGTCCATGTCCCTCACCCCAACACACACACACACCAGTAACGGCGGTGACTGCACAACCACCGAATGGCCAAAGGACTGAAATCAGAGGAGGATCGCTGATACCAGGATTTCTGGAAAACCCAAGGGCAGGAGCCTGATGGCCCTTTTCCTCTAAGGCTGCTCCCTTGGTTGGGGAAAAAGCCTGAGCCAACCATCACTGCTCTGTGGGAAGGCAGGAGGGAGAGGCTGTCTTAAGCTGGGGTGAGAGGGACACCAAGGGAGACCAGAGCCCTCCCCCCACCCCAACCCCCGCCCTGGGGACGGTCTCCCCATGGAGGAAAAGTGGCCAAAGCTGCTGGGGTCAGAGGAATGCAAGGAAATCTCAGTTGGCATCAGGAGCTCTAGAGTTCAAGCCTTGGGCCAGTGACTTAGCCCCTCGGACCTCAGTTTCCTTCTCTATGAAATGGGCTAACAATATTCTTACTTCCCAAGGTAGTTGTGGTGGCACAATAATCCTGGTAAGGATTATAATTCTACTCTAGCGAGCACTCATCATGCAGCAGGTACTATCCTAAGTCTGTTATTGATATTAACTCACTTAATCCTCCATTAATCCTCAGTTAATACTCATTTAACCCTATGAGGTGGATACTATTATCAGCCTCATTTTGCAAATAAGGAAACTGAGACCCAGAGGGGTTAAGCAATTTGCACAAGGTCACGGAGATAGGGCTGGTATGTTTATTTTAGGCTAATTAGGCTCCTGGGTCACCTGAACTCATCTCTTACCTCATGGAATCCCACAACCTCCCCCCTGGGTTGGTATCGGTGCCCCGACTCTACACAGAGCCTAGCCGATCAGCCTCGGCTTTCTGCTGCCCCGGCCCACACTCCTTATCATCATGCTCGGCCGCGAAGATGCTTTCCAACCGCAAAGGGCTTAAAAATGTCAGTTATTATTATCCATAAATGTTGGGGGTTTCTGTCAAAGGGAAGACTCACGTTCCCTGAGCCGGAGGTCTAGGGTTGCTACGGAAAAGGCGGGGTGCCTACAGGCTGTCCTCTCTCTCAGACCTTCTCTCGGGCAAACCAGAACCTCTCCGCTGTAGCCAGTCAATTGCTTCTGGTCCTGAACAAAGAGGAAAGGGAGAACAGAAGTTACCCTGCTCTGTATGCAACTCAACAGAATAAGCACAGGCTGGGGGGTGGGGGGGGAGGGGCGGGTAACCACGGACCCACCTTAGATCAGGGGACCACCTGGAATGAGCCCCCCTTACGGCTGCCACGCCCCATCTTCCCCCAGTGGAGGTGGTGGAGGAGGGCAGGGTTGACAGGGGCTGAGCAGAGCGGTGACGCTAAGCTGAGCCCACCCATGGGCACTTGGGGGAGCTTTCAAGCTTCCCCCGCCCATAGAAGCAGAAGGGAAATGGACCCGGTCTGAATACTGCCACATGCCAGGCAACATGGAAGGCATTTCCACACCTCTCAGCATGTTCAAACTTTGCACCAACCCTGTGAGTTAAGCATCCACCCGCATCGTCATTTTGCAGGTGCCGAGAATCTTAAGTGACTTGAACACGGTGGCGCAGAATCTCTTTCCACCCCCTGCCTCCGGCAGGTCTCAGTGGATGAAGACTGATGGCACTAATCCAGCAGTGACCTGGTAGGCAGCTTCGGGGGCCCGCCCACGGCCTAGACACCAGTGACCCTGCAGTCCCCCTGAAGGTTTCATTTTGCCAGGCACTGGACGCCCCTGGGGGCAGGGTCCGGATCTGCTTGTGACCTTGTAGAACCCAAGCTTAAAGTGTTTCTTCCTGTCACTTTCTTTAGGATCTGTCTCCCTCTGGAAGCTCGCCTGGCCCGGGAGTGAGCCTTGCATGTCACGTGCCTGTGAGAAAGAACTCAACTCTGGGGGACTGTGTGCCCCCAGATAAGTAACTTAGCCTCTCTGAGCCAAAGTGTCATCATTTGCCTAAATAGTGAAAGAGTGGGGTGGTCCTAATGAACCAGGGCCCAGGAGGGGCTGCGGGCCTGGGGGTGCTGTGTCTTCCGCACCACCCACTGGGCTTTTCTTGGGGAGGGGGCCGTCAGAGCCCCTACCTGTGAGGCTGGCAGTGAAGGAGGGAAGAACACCCACATCTTCCAGTTTTCTGCCTCCAGCAAAGCTCAGGTGCTCTGCCACTCACCCCATAGAGCCTGCAGGCTTGAATGTGAGAGACTGTTTTCAGAGGTGCCTGCCAGGGGCATAATGAACACTGGAAGACCCAGAATTGGCTCTGTGGCCTTCCACCTGAAACCCGGTAGACAGCTCTTCGGGTCAGGAGGATCCTTCTAGGTTGCCATGGGAGTCGGAGAGAGGTCGGCGGTTGAGGAGGGCTCTTGTTCTTGCTACTCCTTCGCCTCCTCTGCTTTCAACCTTGCCAGGAGTCCGGGGAGCTGGGAGGGGCAGCGGGCACTGAGGAGAATCCCCCCTTCCTTCACACCCACCCACCAGTCCTTAGTCACTGGAAAGAGCAAATGCAAATGGATCCAAAGCACAATACCCAGAATACACCACCACGCTTCCTAGGGGCTCACTCTGAGTTAAAGCTGGGCTCCTCCTGGGGGCTGACATTTTCCCTGGTTCAAACAACATCTGTGGCTCGCCGAGCTTGGTGAAAGGTGAAGGAGCCAGCCACTGCCACTGTAGACTCCAGGGAAATGGAAAAACCCAGCTCCACAGTTCCCTCCCACCTGGAGCGGGTTCTGGGCCCACGCGTGCACTCACACCCATACACCCCACACACGGCCCCACAAGTGCGCACTCGTGTACCCCTCAGCCGCTCATAAGCCCACGTGTGTGCATTCCCACATGCATGCAGACTCACATGCGTGTCCTTTCATGAACACTCTCGCCCACCCACACCCACACACACGTGTGCACGCACACATCCACCCACGAACAACACGCAGACTTCCGTGAGCTAGAGGAGAGGGTCTGCCCCCAACCCCTCCCCACTCGGCCCCCCACGATGAGAGAGGGCAGAACGAGGGGGTGGCTGCCGAGGGTTTGAAATAAATGCATTCTGAGAAGAAGGACTGTCTTCCCCTCCAGGCTCCAGGCCAAATCTCCAAATGAAATCAGGCTGGGGAGAAATGAACAACCAAGATGCACAAAACAATGTGAAGAAGAAACGAATAATAATATATATATAAAAAAAAAGGTGAGAGTTATTTTTCAGCTCACTGGCTTTCTGAAAAGTAATATAAAGTTGAGCAGCGTCTTCTTGGAATTGACCTTTCTGAGCCGAGACCCAGGCCACACGCACGTCTCTTTCCTCCCTTTCTATTACCCGAAATTTGTGTGGTTTCATCTCCTCTGATTTTCTTTCCTTTGTGCGCCTGTGCAGACCCCTCGTGTCAGGGGCTTGTCCCCAACCCGGCAGCCCTGCCCTGCCACCATGCTTCTCCCTGGTTCCCCAGCTGGCTGAGGATTGCGAGCCCCCCCTCCCCCCGCCGCTCCCCCACCAAAGTGGGGGCCTTGTCCCGCCCAGCTCTGTCCTCCTCCCTGCCCAGAAGGGGCTGCAGCTTCTATCCCTGCCATACACCAACCTGGCCTCCTGGCCTTCTTTGCTCCAGAGAGAATTCTCTTGCACACTGTTCCTTGAAGCAGGGCTGGAAAGGGAAGTGTGGATGGGCCCAGGGAGTCCTGGAGCAGGGAGGACAGGGCCATATTTGGCGAGTGCACAAGAGAGCAGGTGAATCATAAGAGGTTTCTGCCTTCTTCAGAGTATGGAGGGGTAAGTTTCCATTCCAAAATGTCTGGGAAAAAGGTTAAAGAAGGGGAGACCCCGAACCTTCCCCAACAACAATGACGTTCCCTGTAGTTCCAGTCAACTCTCCACCAGAAGTGAGGCTGGAAGGACTGACCCGGTGATGGCCCCTTTGCCACCTCCCATCCCCAGACACACACACACTCACAGACACGCACACACGGATCTCACACAGATGTGCGTGCGTGGGCGCCTCAGACACCTCCATACAGACGCACACACACACGGCCCTGGAGCAAACACACAGAGGCCCCCCTCAGATGCACGCACAGCTCAACCCTGTCCCCGTGGGTACACACACATGCAGCCCTGACACACCAGCACGCGCACACGCACCAGGTGTACGTGCACCTTCTTCTGCGTGGTTCCCTTTTAGAGCTGCGCGGGGGCCTTTGCTGCTCAACTGTGTCTACTCTCAGCTTGTACTTCCTGCCTTAAGGAGGTGGGGGCACTTAATGGTCTGTATCCCCATTGACTTTGGCAATGAGAACATCAAACATGGAGAGAAAGTGCCTGGTGGCCCCTTTGTTACAAAGATGAGTGAACGGTGCCTGGCTTACCCCAGACCGGAGGGGGGAAAGGCTTCAGGAGGACCAGTCAGACACCTGCCCTAGGTCCACCAAGAAGAGAGAACACTGATGGATGTGTTTGGGGTGGGAAAAGGAGGACATGGGGATGTTGATAAAATAACTGAAGCCTTTCTCTGGAAGAGACTAAGAGGTCTAGGGTAGAGATAGGTAATTCTGATGCCCATCACCTGATGTATTCTTGTCCTCACTCAGCCAGTGGCTAAAGCACAAGATGAGCCATGTGAGGGGCTCGGGCCATGACACGACGTGGAGGGGGCGCTGCTATGTGCCCACAGTGGGAATGATTGACATGAGTGAATCCTTGGCTTTTTGCCTAAGTGCTCCCTCCTTCATTATGTCATTTCTATCATCCCAATCACCTTGTCCTATAACTGGGACAGGTATTGGGTGGCCTGTCTTAGAGGTGAGGAATCTGGGGCTCAGGTAAGGTGAGCGACTTGCCAGGTGGATTAGTCAGGCTGGACTAATTGCTGTAACAATCAGGTCTGAAATCTCAGTGGGCTAGCTTCATAGAAGTTTCTCAAACAGGCCCCTCTTCAATGAGAGTTGGCAAGCAAGCTCGGCTTGATGGGACCCAGGCTCCTTCTTGTGGCTCTGTTATTCTTGAGGTGCTTGGCGTATCTTGATTTGGCAGGTGGATGGGAAAAGCAGGTGAGTGTTTATGCGTGATGCTTTTTATGGGCCAGGCCCGGAAGTGATAGGATCTCCTCTGTTCCCATCCCATGGGCTAGAACATAGTCACCCAGCTACATCTACAATGGGGAGGCTAGGGAATGTAGTGCAGCTGCGGGTCCAGGAAGAGAAGGAGAATGCAGATGAGCCCTGCCCGTCTCCACCGTGCCCTGACTCACATAGCCGACAACAGTGAAATCCGTCCTTCGACCTAGGTTCTGATCCCAGTAAGTACTGTGCTTTTCCCTTCCAATGCTTTACCTTGAAGTATTAAGCTTTTCCAACAAAGCAATGTTCCTGGTCTTTTTCTAGGTCTGGAAGTCCTTACATTTATAAGAATATCACAATAATGGCAATAATATCTCCCTCTCTGGTCTATGATGCGCACATCACATTTACTCTCACCACCACCCTATAAGTTATATAGTATAACCCTACCTTCTAACTGAGGACAGTGCAGCTCAGTGAGATTAAGTAGCTTCTCTGAGGTTGTGAGAATGTGAGTCTAAGCCCTTCTGGCTCCAGTCTTCCATCTTGCTCCCGTGTTGCTATGGCTCCCACTGGACCTGGGATTGGAGGCTGAGTAGTTGGAGAGTCAGCCTTCTTAATCCTTCAGGGCAGACTTCCCCGATGAGGCTTAAGTAGGATACAAATGGAGTGGGCAGAGTTCTTGCTGCCTTCTGCTCTGGGAAGCATCTGGAGATATATAAGGGCATAGGCTTTGAAATCTCTGGCGTTCAGCACCACACCCTCTCCGCCTGCAAATTGGAGACTGTAGACACCACCCTCATTCCAGACCCTCTCCGTATGCATAGGCTTCTAACTGGTTTCACCAAGACCTCACAGTTTGTCTTTAAACCCTTTCTGCACATCCCGGAAAGGAACCTTCTTAACCACACGCACATTTCATTGTGTCTTTCTTCTGCACAATGATGTTCATGACTGCCGTCAAGTCCAAGCTCCTTAATTAGCCCCTCCTATTTCTTTATACTCTGCCCCTAGGTTGTCCATCTGGATGGATCCTCCTTGACTCCCCTAAACATATCGAATACTCTTACCATACTTTCTTTCTCCTCCCTCCAACATCCCACTGCCGGGGCACCCTCATCGCTAGCCTACCTGTCGCCACTTCTAAGATACCTCCCCTGATCACCCAGATAATCTGCGTGTTTGTACCCTCATGCAGTGTTTCCCTCCAAGGTACCCTCCGTGCCATGGTCTCCTGAGAATGTTTCTTATCTTTTTCCCCAGCTTGTAGCCTCATGAGGGTGAAAGCTAAGTCTTGTACAATTTGTACCTTTGGATAGAACAGCCCTCAAACAATAGTTTACGCCTGAGAAAATCATCACAAGATAGCCAAGACTTTCAGTGATATGCAAATGAAAGACTTGGCTTAGGAGCCATCATTAATGTCTGTTTGACTGTTTTCTGTTTTCTGTTTTCTGCCAGCCAGGATCATGAGGCAGCTCCCACGTCTTGGAGGGCTCCTAACCTCACTGGGTTTATCTGTAAGGCTGTATGGGTGGGACCTGGAAGCAGAGACTTGTGGCACTTTGAGTTGTGTATTCTCTGCCCCCTGGGGGGGGCGGTGGTAAAAGCCCAGGCCCCCGACAGGCTAACCTGTCAGGTGGAAGTAAGCGAGGCAGGTGCATTTGGGGAGCTCTATAAATGGAGCTCTCTTGGCTCTGCCCACCCTCAGCCCCTCCACACCAGGCCAAATTGTAGGCTGAAGCCAGTGGCGCAAGTAATGGATTGGAACCAGGATGCTCAGGTTAAGTGGGCCGCTCTGTGGAGCTCATCCATAATCCTGCTGGAGCCCAGAGAACAATACGTTAATTAGAGCTGACAGCGAGGCTCCCACCAGCCATCCATCCTGCCTGTGTCTGCGGGGCCTTCCCCATGGACACGCAG